ATATGTTTGTTCATATAAAACCAATGTGTGCTTGATAGTTCTATGCAAATTACATTTTGCACATTTAACTATCCATGTTTCTTTTTTTTCCCTTCGGCACATGCACTTTAATTGAGAGACAGTCAAGGGGCGAGTTACTTTTTCATTAAAAATTAAACTTTAAGCTGAAAAAAGTTTGAATTCAAAATGAACGTCTGCCCCAGCTCAGTTGGTGTGATGCATTAAATGTTCATCAAGGAGAATGGTTTTATTGATTTATTTTTTATACATCATATTTACCACTGATAAACTTTTCAGTAGCAGCGGTAGTTTTGAGCTAATTGGTAAATTTTATGCTCTAATCCCTGGGCACGTTTGATGACAGCTAGACAAAAGTATTTGCATAAAAACAGAGCACACTCCATAAACAGACTTGAAACACTTTAAACAAAACCAAATGTCCTTTGGGAACCCACTTATATATTGACTACGTTGTGCCAGAGTCTCAAATACATTTTTGAGAGACTGGTTTATGGTTGAGATGGTCCCAGTGGAAAAGCCTCTACTGTCATATCTTGCTACAGATGTTTTATACCTGTCATTGATCATCTTCTGTTTAATAACAAACAAACAAACAAGCACACTAGCAAGTATGTCAGTAAGCAAGTACTGATATGTAAGTAACTAAGTACAGGTAAGTAAATAAGTAAGTAAGAAAGTAAGTTATTAAGCAAGCAAGCAAGTACGCATGTAAGCAAATAAGTAGGTAGGTAAGTAAGTAAGCAAGCAAGTATGTAAGGAAGTAAATAAGCAAGCAAGAAAGTAAGTAAATAAGTAAGTAAGCAATTAAGTAAATAATAGGCAAGAAAGTAAGTAAATAAGTAAGTAAGCAATTAAGTAAATAATAGGCAAGAAAGTAAGTAAATAAGTAAGTAAGCAAGTACTTGAGTAAAAAAGTAAGCAAGCATGTAAGCAAGTAAGTAAGTACGTACGTATGTACATAAGTAAGTAAGTAAGCAAGCAAGAAAGCAAGTAAGCAAGTAAATACGCAAGTAAGTAAGCAAGCAAGTACGTACGCAAGCAAGTAAGTAAGCAGGTAAGTAAGAAAGTAAGTAAGTATGTAAGTAAGTAAAAAGTAAGCAAGTGAATAAGCAAGTAAGTAAATAAGTAAGTAAGTAAGTAAGCAAGTTAGCAAGTAAGTAAGCATGTAAATAAGCAAGTAAGTAAGTATGTATGCAAGTAAGTACGTAAGTAACTAAGTCAGCCAGTCAGCAAGAAAATAAACAAACATGGCTGCAAAGACATATCACAGTGAAAGCGTTGATAGAGCTACATTCCATTGCATCATATTAATGAAAAGGCAAAGGAGTGATATATTTTTTTTTTTTTCAAAGTTTGTTTCTGTGTTTGTGTTAACAAAATATCTCATGAACCAGAATATAAATTTAGGAAAACTTTGGTGAGGCAGGAGCTGAGACTGATTCAACACATGTTCTGAGCACTACAAGATTGTGCAAGATGTTTATTTTTTTAAATGCTGTCATTAACTATTTGGAGTTAGTTCTATTTGTCTGTTAGCACAATATCTTATGAGTCATTTGAGGGGCTTTTAAAAATGTATTTTGCATTTGCATCTGCAACTGATTCACATTTTGGAGTTTAACCAATTCAAGATGGGTTCCATACCCAAGTGATAAAAATAAGCTAATAAATAAATAAATAATTAAATAATTCATAACAACAGCAATACAACATAACAATAATAAGCAAAAATAAATAAATAAATAAATAAACCATTCTTATAAACAGTAACTCCTCTACCCACTTGAATAACTTGCACCAACAGTCATTAAGGTTTACTCATATCGCCTAATCAATTCCAGTCCAGAAAAAAAACACACAAAAAAACACTAATTTAAATAATAAAAAAAAAAAAAACAACAACAACAAAAATACATTTACTATTCAAATCCCTCAGGGAACAATGGTGCACCACTTTTTTCTTTGTCATTTCTAAACATACAAATACTTTTGTTTAAATCTTACAAATGAAAGGTTAAAAACAAAATGCATTCATTAAAGGAGTGCTACGTCTTTACATTTTATTTATTTGGAAAACCAGTTTTCCAGATGTGCTTCAGTGTTTTACACCATACCTCATTAAAAGGTTTATATTTCGGCTGCTAGAACATCGTCATGTTTTGGAATCACTTTGATCATGGAGGGGTTGGGATCACTTCAACCACCTGTTTTGTACGTGGGACAGAATAAGAATCCCCCCCCCCACACACACACACACACACTTTAATCAATACTATCTGCTTGGACACACCCCTCCCTTGCTCTTTCTCTGTTTGTCAATGACTCATTCAGCTGCAATTATCGTCCTTCTGAGTTTCCCCAACCCGTTCCTTTCCGTGCTCCTTTTTCACCAAACCTTCCTCTGAGAAGCAGCCAGAATTCCTCAGAGAGAGGCAATCAATTCCTCAGCCGCACATCGTCCCCTCCTTCTTCCTCTCATTTTCACTTTATCTCTCGCTTCCATTCTCACTAGCAATTTGTCACTTAGCAACGGAGTGTGCTCTGCCATCGGGAAGTGAATCATCCCTGGCTGCACTCCTGTATTAACCCATTCAGCTCAAATGAATGTGCCATAAACACTCTGACATCACTGAAGTCTTGATTAAACTGGGACCTGTACGTTAAAAGCTTTACGCGTGGAAGTGCAACATAAAGTAGTAAATTAACTTAATAAGACTAAGAGAATTTTAGCTTTTAAATCAAGACTCATGGAGAGTCAACAAAAAGATACGTTGGGTCAGTTTCTTTTAATGTGTTAGTGTATCAAAAGGCCTATCAAAATGTATTTTAGAACTGAAAGAAATTGAAATTCTTGTGGTTAAAAGAAAAAAAAGAAAGCATTATCCTACCCAAAAAAAAAACACACAGCAGACTCTTTTCTGATCGTATAGAATTGCTATTCAAGACAAGCATGGGTAGAGGGATTTGTTTGATGAACATAATGGTGCACTAACACCTCTGTAATCCTTTCTCAATTTACTGCCAATGACATTTTAAGTATTCCTAATGTGCTTCAGCCACGCTGTGAGGAAGTGGGAGTGCAGTCATCAAATGTCTGCGAGAAGATGTGCATTTAGGATTTTGTCTCTCTGTGTCGTTTTATGCCCATTGATCACTGGTTGGCAGCTCAAACCCAAACTAAAAACACCTAATGGTAAATTACAATCCCACCTGTTGGATGTTAATACTGATAGTTTGTGCATTTAAAAAAAAAAAAAAAGTAATTTGCATCAAATTTTCACCACATTAGCATACTTACCAGCACCTCCTCCACACACAGTCTAATTTGCCACTACCTGCTTCAGCACTTTAATGTTTATTCATCCCTCTCTCACACAAACCTATAATCAGATAACAAATCTCTGTGCCATTAGCACATTCAAGCTAGTGGAAACTGATGATAAAACATGTTGGCAAGACAGAATCAGAGGAGACGGAGATGGAGATTGTGCATCAGCACAGAAAAAGGCTCCCTTCACACTGGATCACAAGCAGCGGTATGCTCTTCATACCTCACAAGACCTACTGGAATATGGCTGGATCATAACTAATTTTGAGACCTTTCACCACTTTGAAAAAAAAAATCATATTTAAAATTTATATATATATATATATATATATGTAAATCCCTCACTACTTTGCAGTTAGTTTTTCGCGGACTCACTCTATCGCGGTTTTTCAAAGTATGATTGGACATGACACACAATTTCTGATTGATGGATGAGCCACACGATCAGCATGGAATTTTCATTTAAAATAAAATTATTATGAGTTAGCACGTGTGTGCAACGCACAGCTGCAGAAATAGCTTCATTCTGAGGCTGATCAGCTGATCTCCGCTCTACAGCGGAGAAGTGGGCGGGGCCGAGAGCGCTGGCATCCAGAGGCAGAGAGCGTTTAGAGTTTAGAAACATTGTTTAGAATATTACAAG